CGTGATGTCATAATCGGGCTTATTTTTTTCTCGTTTTGTACACAACCGGAAGCTTCATATCGGATAATTCAATACCTTTACTCGTCACACATTTCATTCTGTTTTTGTTTTGCGTGTCGCAATTTTTTTTTTCGACTCCTTCATTTTCATTCAGAATTCGCACGAAGCTCGGTATTTTTCCCGAGGTTGGGAACTGTGGCTCAGTTTTATGAAACTCATCTTAGCTACCAGATGAAGTATGTTTTTCACACGCACTACGATCCTCTAAGGAGTATGTAGGGTGGCCGCAGAACGATGCAGCTTTAGAACTGTACGACAATGAACCGTACCAAAACAAACGGTTCGAATTTTATTCCGTAGAGATGTAAACAATGTTATCTACTAACTTCCAAGCTTGATGTGATTCACAACTTGTGACATAATAAGTTTATTGCACTTTAAAAAAACGATACTCAAATGCGGAATTATTAAGCGGAAGTGATATTTCAAGGTGAAATGTACAGGAACATGAAATTCATCGTGTTTCCAATTGAAAACGGTGAGGAAAACAAATTGACGCTAGTAGTGAATAAAAGTTTCTAATATTAAAATAACGATTTGCATTCTATAAATAAAGTTATAATGTTCCACTACTAGAAACACCTTGGGAAATAGTAAAACTTATCATTAGATGTAATCTCAAGATCAACTGGTATTTTTCATTGCAATCATTTTCGTTGAACAAATGATTCGTTATAAAAGCGAACATGGACTATGTAATATCAATATTGTTACAACTTAATTTGAAAAAAAAAACATATGCGGTCAATTAGATCATTTGGCCGAACAGCTGCTGTTCAAACAGATCAGTGACATAAATTTTGGACGTCTAGAATCTCATATCATTTAGATTCTTCATTCCAACAACTAGCTAACGTCTCAATTATGTTTGCATTTCTCAATGGATTTGAGTCGTATGCAAAAATAAAACGAAACAATTCAATTTCGAGTCCAAACAAATGCTGACTTAACGGTGCCCCAGAAATGATATTTGTCATCATTGAACAGGTCAGTTTATTTGTCTAGAAAAAATGTCGTGGATTTCAGTCAAAATCACTGCAGAAAAATATTGATTTTTTTTTTTCGTTTTAACTGTAAGCAAATAGAATGCAATAGAATAGGTTTGTTGTCTTTGAAATGTGGAACAATGACATTAATCATCAATCATAATGATCGGGCAAGATTTTTTTTTCATCGATCCAATGACCTGGAAATCAATTCACGATTAAAACACCTGTCGCTGGAAATGTATTTAAAGCACTGCATTTGATCCGTCTAGCCATTCGTTGCATATTCGAGCAACACTAACATTATTCATTAATTTTCGATGTGATTCGAATTGTTGTGTGTTTGCGCTTGAAATCAATATCTTTAAACTTATCATTTTGATGAGCTGCTTTATTGGCATTGCTGTGAGTATAAATTTTCATTTTGATCATGCTTTTTACTGTATTAAAATGGAATTTTTCAGCATCAATTTTCATAATATACAATAATTGTCATTGATTTTTGTACGGAATGTATAGTTTTCTGGTTGTGGGGAGGGAGGCTGTAGCAAATCGAGTGGCAGTAGCTGTGGAGAGGGAGGCTGTGGCATGAGTAGTGGTAGTATCGGCCACTCGGTTAATAGTGGTGACTTCAGTGACTATGATTACGACATCATTTCAATGCCAGATGGAGTTGGAACGATTGGAATCATGGACTCACCCTTTTATGATTGCAAGACAAAAAGCTTATACTTTGTCGATCTCTTCAACAAAAATATTTATCGATATTCGGAAGAAAATAATCGAGTGTACTATTGTTCGGTTCCTGGATTCTCACAACCATCGTTTTTCATCCCGGTGAGAGGCAAACATGGCGTCTATAGTATGGGACAAAATACATCAATTTATGAGGTTGGGTGGGATGGATTCTCTACGGTATGTAACATAATTGCAAAAGTTACATCAGCCGAAGATGGTACAACACATCATACAAATGCTGCCATCGCTAGACCAAAGGGTGCCCTCCATTTCGGATACTATTCTCAAAACCTTTGCGGTAAGCACCTCTTTTGTTTTCAAATCATTTTGAATTTCTCTTTCATTCCATTTGCATATGATGCTAGATGCATAGTTTGGAATTCGAACATTAAATCTGAAATCATCGAAGAATTGTTATAAAAGGGAACTAAATTAAAACTCAAATTGAATGGAACATTTTCAGGTGATCCAGCTAACCAAGGCCTTTATCGCTGGCAAAAAAAATCGGACTTAGAAAGATTGCCGGGCTCATATGTAACTGTCAACTCAATGGGTTTTGACTACAAACGAGGCATTCTCTATGTTTCGGATGGATGCACGCATACAGTCAGAGCATTCAAAGTGAATAAAAAAACTGGCAAAATCTGTAAGTCGAAATCAATTTACTCGATTTTAAATTCAATTGTACTCAACAGCCATTGAATGATATGTTTTAGCCCAACCGTGGGTGGTGGTTTCGAACTTCGGACTTCCAAATTCGGTCGCTATTGTTAGGATCAGCGTTGATAAAGTAAGTATAATTCAATTGAAATTGTGGACAATCGAATCACATTTTTATTGAATTGAAAATCAAATATTTTCTTTTCAGCATGCAAATTTGGCGATTGGGACATATAAAGGAGGCAAGGTGTTTTTCGTCAATTCACGGTAAGCACTTCATTATTTTAGTTCACACCGGAAAAAAAACGGCTAAAGTTAAAGGAAACCTTGATCTAACGTGAAGTTTACATTTCAGCACCGGGCAAATTATGAAAACAGTAGATATGCCAACGCTATTCACGGCAGCTGTCGCATATGGTGGTTGTGATTTCAGCAAACTATATGTAATGACCGCACAATTGGATGCAGATATTACGACAATTGCTTGCCGTTGGTTCATTGCTTGTATTTCACGGAATGGGCAGAGGACAGGGGCAAA